TCCTGAGTCTCACAGCTGTTCTCTGGCCTCCACATTAGTGGGATGGCAATGTCTCCCTCCAATATAAATATGTGCATAGAAAAATAAGATAAAATTCAAATCTGTTGATGTGTACTTTTGTCTCGGTGCTGTGACTTTGTTTCTGAGGTTCTGGCCTCAGTCTCCAATGCTTCATCATGTCAATCCTGCATCCTCTCTTGGGGGACTCTCCAGTCTATGTGTTTCTTTCATATGTTTGTTTTGTTTTTTCTGTTTGCTTTGTGTCAAGGGCCTTGCTATGTAGCCTAAGCTGGTCCCAAACTCTTGGGCTCAAGCATTCCTGCTGTATTGCATTAGCCTCCTCACTAAGCACCATGTCAGCTTACACCCTGAGTTTTGCTAACTGTGTAATTGCCACCTGAATTATGGTGTCTGATTTCACTCCCAAATCACTTTAAACACCTTTGCAGTATATTTCACTTTCAAGTGTCAATTCTTTTTAAAAATAATAAAAAATTATATGTGTATGCATGTTTTGTCTGCATGTTCTCCTGTGTACTGCACTACTATGTGCCTTGGTGCTCAAGGAATCTAGAAGAGTCTTCCTTTTCTAGAACAGGAATTATAGATGGCTGTGAGCCACCATGTGGGTGCTGGGAATGGACCATGGGTTCTTTGGAAGAACAACCAGAGCCATTAACCCGCACTGTATTGTCGGCCCCCCAAGTGTGAATTCTTAGCACTATAAATCAGAATTACGTACTCTTGGCAATTTGAATGTCATCACGTGCTCTTTGTGTGTGTGACTTGCTGTGCATGGGGGCAATAAGGTTAAAATTTATCTTAAAAGACTTATTTTAAGTGTGTGTGTGTGTGTGTGTGTGTGTGTGTGTGTGTGTATGCAATACATGTGTGCACACATACACAGAGGCCAGAATGTTTCATTCTCTGGTACTAAAGTCACAGGTGGTTGTGAGCCACCCCCACATGTGTTGGGGACCTCTTTGCTAGAGCAGCAAGTATTCTTAATTCTGGAGCCATCTCACCACTTCTGCATCTTCTGTTTCTTGAGATGGTGTTCCCCTCTGTTTAGGATAACTTAGACCTTCTGGGCTCAAGTGCTCATGTGCATGCCTCAGTACCCATCAGGATTCATAATTTCATTTTACACAGTTATCTCTTAACAGTAGCTGAGAATTTTATCCTGTGGACATATGATGATCTGTTCAGTTTCTCTGTTGATGGAGTTTTAAAATTGTTGGTTGTTATGAATTATGATGCTGTGAACATTCATGTACAACTCTTTGTGTGCCTGTTTATGTGTTTTTTGATAAATATCTCATGATCCAGTGAGATTCCTGGGTTGCAGAAGTGTGTGTTTGACTTGATGAGAACTTATCAAACTTTCCTCCAGAGTGCTTGTACCAGTGTGCACTCCTAGCGCCACGAGTGTGCTAGTCATTCCCATGCTCACAGCCCCGGTACTGTCAGTCTTTCAAAAGGTAGCTATTTAATATTACTCTTGGGAATATACCCAAGAGAGGCCTTATCATACAACAAAAGCATATGCTCTACGATGTCCATAGCAGCATTGTTTGTGATAGCCAGAACCTGGAAACAACCTAGATGCCCTTCAATAGAAGAATGGATGAAGAAAGTATGGAATATATACATATTAGAGTACTACTCAGCAGTAAAAAACAAGGGCTTCTTGAATTTTGCATGCAAATGGATGGAAATACAAAACACTATCCTGAGTGAGGTAAGCCAGACCCAAAAAGAGGAACATGGGATGTACTCACTCATATTTGGTTTCTAGCCATAAACCAAGGACATTGAGCCTATAATTAGGGATCCTAGAGAAGCTAAATAAGGAGAACCCGAAGAAAAACATATAGGCATCCTCCTGAATATTAACCTTCAGCAGGCGACGAAAGGAGACAGAGACAGAGACCCACATTGGAGCACCGTACATAAACCTCAAGGTCCAAATCAGGAGCAGAAGGAGAGAGAGCACGAGCAGTGAACTCAGGAACGCAAGGGGTGCACCCACACACTGAGACAATGGTGATGTTCTACTGGGAACTCACCAAGGCCAGCTGGCCTGGGTCTGAAAAAGCCTGGGATAAAACCGGACTCTCTGAACATAGCGGACAATGAGGACTACTGAGAACTCAAGAACAATGGCAATGGGTTTCTGATCCTACTGCACGCACTGGCTTTGTGGGAGCCTAGGCAGTTTGGATGCTCAACTTACTAGACCTGGACGGTGGTGGGGGTTCCTTGGACTTCCCACAGGACAGGGAACCCTGATTGCTTTTCGGGCTGAGGGGGGGGGGGGACTTATTTGGGGGAGGGGGAGGGAAATGGGAGGCGGTGGCGGGGAAGAGACAGAAATCTTTAATAAATAAATAAATTAATAAAAAAAAGTAGCTATTTGTCAGCCATGTCTTCCTGAGGACCTTTCTGTTTGCACCTTGCAGAAACGGCTCACTACATGCCCGTCACACTGAGTTCTCTCTCAGCCTCTAATGTCTTGTCTTCTCTGTGCTTCAGGTCACTGTTTCCTGACGTATAGGATGTGGGAATCACATGCGAGTTTTCCAGAATTCCCAAGCCCAAGTCCCATGAACATACTGTCTCTTCTTCCCCAGGATGGAATATAGGTTCATGCAAGTTGAGAAATTCCCTCAATGATGTACAGCCCTAACCAAAGCCATTGCCCAGCTTCCACTTACTCCAGCAGGGGCTCTTGACCACTGTCACAGTTTCTCTTCCCATTGCTATGCAAGACAGAAAAGTGACTTCGGTGTTTATTCAGGCTCACAGTTGAGGGATACAGTCCATCATGGTGGGAGCTAAGGTGGCAGGAACTTGAATCACCTGGTCACATCACATCCACACTCAGGGAACAGAGAATGGCGAATGCATTCTGTTACTCAGTTCCATCTCTCCCCACACACAGTGCAGGGCACACTGCACAGGGAATGTGCCCCTCACAAGTAATTTGATTTATCCATGTCATTTCCTGTAATGAGACAATCCTCACAGACACTCTCGTAGGTTAGCCTTCATAGATGATCTCACAGGTGTGCCTGGGGGCTTGTCTCCTAGGTGACTCTAGATTCTCTCAGGATGACAGTTGACCCTGACCACCACAACTACTCAATAATGGCATTGGCAGATTTAATGTTACCAGTGTTTGCATTCCCTTGCAGATCAATTCAATCTGAATGGGGCCTGGGCATATCTAACTATTCCTCAGGGATTCCAACATATATCCATATTTTCCCGATTTCCATTGGATTTCTCTGTACTTTCCCTCTGTGTTTTGGGGATCAAAGACAGAGCCTCACGCTCCTGGGCAAGTGCTGTGTTCCTGCACTGTGCCTCAGCCCTTATTTCTCTGTGTACGTGTGGTATTTGTCCCTTTCAAATTTTGTTTTATTTTCTGTGTCTTCTGAATTAGGGATTTTTGTTTCCTAGAGAAAGGACCCAGTCTGAGATGATAGAGATTTTCTGTACCTTTCAGGAATACCTAAGTTAGTCACCAGGAAAACATTGTCTACCACACAGTTGTGTCCTTCCTGAATCTGATGTCCTCACTTGAATGCTCTAGTGTTTGATCTATGTGAAGTTGCTTATGATGAAGGGTGACCACAATGAATGTAAGAATGGAGAAATCGTGCTGCTTTGTGTCCATTTGTCGGCATAGCATAGGAACTAAGATTTATATGATTACATATGGTATAGGCACAGGAATGTGTCAGAGACACATCTGATGAGAATTGAGAATGGTGAAGAAGTAAGAATATGCTTGACATATAACACATGTGTAGGTGAAAAAAATTTTAAAAAATACATTAAGGGGGCTTTAAGGTCTGGTGCTCATGCCTTTAATCTTAACACTTGGGAGGCAGAGGCAGGCAGATCTTCGTGAGTTTAAGGCCAGCCTGGTGTACATAGTGAGTTCCAGATCAGCCAGAGCTACACAGGGAGACTCTGTTTCAAAAACAAACAAACACACACTCAAAATAAGTCTAAAACAAAGAAATCAATGTGCTGAGGGTGATGAGCTCTTTGAATAAGTATTTATTAGGAGACAGGCACCATGAGTTTCAGGAAGAGATAGGGGCTTGAGATACACATGCCGGAGCCATCTGCAGACGCCTTTGGACCTAGCAATGGGTGGGCACACGAAGCGTCTGAGGCCTGACCTCTGTCAGGATGCTGTGTGTTGGTGGTGGATGCAACACTGATGACCCAAAAAGAAGAGTTGCTTGTGGTTGTAGATGGTGTGAGGGTGACATAGCCCTTTGGATCCAAGAAGTGACAGTGGCTTCATGGTTCTTCCAGTGTCTTGGGTATGGAAATGGGATAGGGGAAGAGCCGGCCACACATGCATTGTCATTGTTTGCCAGGGTGGAAGAGGAGATGCCAGGGTAGCACTTGTTGGAATTACTACACGGATCTTACTCAGGTCAGAGGTTTAAGAGGACAGGCAGGAAATTAGCAATGAGAAATGGACAGGAAGTGCTGGAGACAGTTCAGTGTGAGGCAACATGTGGAGATTTCTGAGCTGAACACTGCATTGCTGCCTTTGAGTGGCTGGAGCCACTTGGGTTGGAGGAATTGTTTACTGTGATGGAAAGGACCAGAGAGGCTCTTTGTTCCTGTAATCCCTCCTCTCTTAGAGGACTGTAAACAGCTCTTTCTGGGCAGCTCAGGGCTTGGCTTGTTGCTTGCATGTATACTTTGTCAATAAATGTGCAGTGCATTTAGCTAATTCCTAGACAACTACGTCAGAGAGCTACTGTACACTACTCAGCAGTAGGCTCACTCTGCCCCCCGATCCAGCAGTTGTCGTCTTCTACATGTAAGGAAGACATTGTCTACGTGGTACCAGGTAGGGATGTATCTCAGTGTAGAGCATTTGCCTAGTGCATGCAAGACCCTAGCATCCACCCTAAGCATGGAAAAAGCAGAAACAAACAAAATACAGAAAAACCCACAAAGTAGCATTAGTGATATGTGATATTTTATTTTGAACATAGGGGAAATTTACAAATACCTCTGATTTGGCGTTAGCCAGGCAAATTTAAATAACCCAGAATAGAACTAATAAAGGAAAATATACACAGAATTTCTTTGAGCTGGAAGTCCCTGAGAGAAATCCCCGAATACAATAATTCCAGAATAACTGTCTTGGAAGGCCTGTTAGGCACGGCATGAGAACAAACACTTATTATCCAATAAAACCCTTGATTAGCAGGCACAGGGTGGGGGTACGTCTTGAAGAGAGGATCCTTGAGAGCACATTGGCCTTTCCTTCTCCTGTTGCTGGGATTCATCCCAGGTGGGAAAAGTAAGTTTTTGAGGCTGTTGAAAGCCCAGGGCTGGGAAAGAACCCCCTGCAAGTGTCCTACATTCCCAGGGGAGCACCAGTGCACTGCTCTCTAGGATGTAAACAATGCCTTCAGCTTGAGTGACTGTGTTCCTTTAAGGGCACATTCATGTGGACCAAAACACACAGTAGCAGAGGCCAAGGATTCCTGAGAGTGCAGGGCAGTCAGGGAATGCACAAGCCGCTGGGCCTGGTGGCCCTGTGATATTGAAGCCTGTTTAGGCCACATGCTAAAACTCTGTCTCAAAAAAAAAAAAAAAAAGTCAAAAAAAAGAAGCCAAAGAAAGGTCAAACTGTGCACAGGCAGAAACACTGCGGAAGGGTACTTGGAGGCTGGTCCTGGATCTCCAGGAGCAGGGTGGGAATGAGGAAAGCCTGTTGTTAGTTGTTGAAGCCGAGGACAGTTTTTGTTAGAGTTTAAAAGCAAAACAGCAAGGCAGACAAGCTGGAAATCTCAGCATCAGCCTGGAGAGGGGTTGGAGTGGAGGAGGAATGGCTGGCTTGTGAGTCAGGCAAGAGTTCAGCTGGCAGCCTACAAAGGGTGGGGGCAGGTGAGCTCCAGGGAGAGAACAAGGAAGCCAAAAGTGTCAGAGAAATATTGTGTAGGCTCTGGCCAGTGCCCAGCAATAAAGAAGAAGACATGGAAAAAGTCAGGCTTTTCTGACAAATTCAGGGAAGTAAGAGGCTTTTCTCGATACTAGGCAGTGGTTCTGCAAGTGACTTGCCTTGTTATTCATTTATTCATTTTTCTTTGGAACTCTTGATCAAAAGGGCTTGAGAGGCCTTTTGATCCTGGCCAAGGGAGCCAGAGGTGCAGTGGCTTCTTGCCCCTAAGGCAGACCTATCAGCTCACACACTGAGCAAAGTCAACAGTTACAAAAATTCAAATAGTGGGTTGTCTTACAGAGAAGAAAACTCCAGTACCTCCAAACGTGGCTTATTTTAAAACAATCTCAGTGCTCCACACAGGGTATCTTTCTGTTCTGTTTTCAGTTTCCAGGAGACTGTCAGTTCACCAGCCCTGCTTTTCTGGACTCCTTCCTGGTAGAGGCTAGAGATGCTGTCTTTTCACCTGCCCTCTGTGTTAGCAATGGCAGTGGATGCTGCCAAAGAGCTTTGCTAGCTGCTTTGAGTGGGTTTTCTGGAGAAAGGCTCAGAGGTGGGCTCAGGTGTAAATGCACAACATACAGAGACCCTGATGCCACAGCCAGGAAAGCATGGTGGTTGTCGGCGTGGAGATTTCCTGAAACCTCTGGCTGAGACTTGATCTTCCCGTGTACGATGGCTTCACATCTGGCTTAAAGACACAGGAATGCCCATTTCCTGCTTGTCCTTTGTTTTTTTGGCATAAGCAGTTAGGTGATGTCCAAGATTATGGTAATTCAAGTCAGACTGTGCTAGGACAGGACTGGAGCTGGGGAGAATGACTGTGCTCTGAATAGGTCAATTTAAAACAAGCCATGGCTAGGGGAGTGGATGGTGGGCAGCTTTGATGCCCTTTTCTTAGCCAAGTTTCAATTCCAAGAAAAGTTGGGTTTCCTGTAGGCTTCAGAATACATTGTTCCTTCTATTGATACTGAAGAGGCTGCCACCTGGAGCTGTGTGTGTGTGTGCGTGCGCATACACACATGTGTTTCCTCATCTCATGGTACAGAGATCTCCTAGTGAGGATGAGAGTCTGGAAATGCATCATTAGTGTAGCCAGCATGACAGGTCATGATCACTTCCTTTTTACTTCTGAATAAACTGTTTCTGTGGGTGTTGGAGATGGGGAGGCTGAAGTTGGTGGTTTGGGTGTCTGGCCGTTGATGTTCTGGACAGTCTTCGGGATGGTGTATACCACGTGATCCACCTGAAAGTATGAGTGTTGGTCAGTGACATCAGTCCCGCAGGGCAGAGCCTCACCTTGCTGGTGATCCAGCCCCACTGTGCTGTGGCCTCTGTGCCGGGTGAGCCATGGGAGAGGACACCCGTCACTCACTGTCTGAGTCTGATGTGTGGTCACTAGAGGAGACAGGTTGAGGAAGAGGGTGAGACAGCCGTGGGGACAGAGGAGGAATCAACAGAGACATCCAGATGGGCCACAGAACAGTTTGTGAGGATGTGGACCATCCTGACCACCACTGCTCTTTGTGGGAAGTGACATCAAAGTGTGTTTTTGCGGGGTGGGGGTAGTTGTGAAGTAACTTAGCTTGCCTGCTGCTTATGAGTGTGTTCAACCTGCGAGAGTTCACACTGTGAAAGTGTTCTTATTATTTAAAGCACTCTTCAGTCTATGCCTGTACTTGGTTGAAAGGCTGCAATGATAAAATTTTGGTAAAATTGTTGTATAAGGTGGAACAGGGTCTCAAACCCATTAGAATGGAATCCATCCTTTTTATGGTCAGAGCAGGTTCAGATCGGAAGAGAAAGATGCGCTGTTGTCTCTGTGTGCACAGTGCTGTGCATGTGTCAACTCGTTTATTCCCTTGAGTCTCTTTTCTGAGGTGGGCAGAATGCCCGTTTCACAGGTGACAAGACCGAGGATCAAAACGTTCAAGTTCCTTGTCAAGAGTCACAGAATACAAGGAATTGTGGTCAGGAATTAAGCACAGGGCAGGGATTTTTCCAAACACACACTCCTCTATTAGACTCAGGGGGCCCATTAACCAATCTTTGCTGCAGCCCTAAGGAATGCAGACCCAAGCTGAATTTCACAGTTATGTCTCCAAGAATACCTCATTCTCAGCCTGGTGTGGTGGCGCACATTGGTAATCCCAGCACACGAGGCTAAGGCAGGAGGATGGTCACGAGTTCAAGGCCAGCCTGGGTTTCATAGTTCAAGGGTAGACAGGGCTGCTCCTTGAGATCCTCTCTCAACAAAGAAGCACACAAACCAAAACAATACAGACAGCGCACATTCTTCAGAGACATTTCCATGAGCAAACAGTCAGGGAAAGTGGCAGTGCTTACCTTGTTAGGAGAGTTGTCAGAGGGGCCCAGATCTAGGGGAGCAAGAGAGAGTTGTCAGTGCACAGAAGTGCAAAGCTGACTGAAGGTTTCCTGAATTTTGCCAGGTGGCAGGGGTTGCAGGGGGAGGTGGCCATGGTCAGTTCAGGAATTAGCTTCCCTCAGAGGCTGCTCAGACCCACTGTATTAGTATCAGAGGAGGAGCAGGATGGAGCCTTCTGTTTGCCCAGTTCACAGGATGCCCAGAGGTGATTCTCAGCAGCATGCGCCAGTGGCAAGGGGAACATAGAGGCCACAGCACCCAGATATTCCATAAGACCAAAAAAGTCTCCCCAAAGGAGATCTCTACGTCTATAATCGAGGCAGGAAGGAAGGCATCAGGAGACCCCTGGAAACGTGACTTCTTTAGGCCTGCCTAGTCTGGTGGAATGAGCTTCTCAGGGCTCCCTCAGGCAACTCCTCTGTAATTAGGAAGGCTATGATTTATGGGATCCTCAGTGCAGGGAAGTCCAGATCCCTTCTGCAAACATGCAGAAAGGAAGGTGTGGTCTCTGAGCCCAGGATTCCCTGGCAGAGCAGGATATGTGGCAGAAAGCCAGTTCTCATTCTGTGAGTGGCTTTACTTACTGTGGTTGGAGGCTGAGGGTTTGTGCTCTGTGAGATCGCGCTGGTCAGTTCCCCTAAATAAATATCAGACACTGTGACCACTCTTCCCACACATGGGGCCTTTACTCCTGGAATCTGGGAGGATGCTGTGGGCAGCTCATTCCTGGGTTCCTTACTGTCACTGAAGCTCCATCACCCCATTCTTGGTGCTGCCTTCCCTCCTGAGGCCTCGTTCCTTAATCTAGTGCTGTCTTTTGTCCCTGCTAGTGCTGTCCTTTGTCTTTGCTGGACTCTGAATCTGCTTTACTTTGTCCCCTGGTGCTGCGACCACACCCAGGGTTGGTGTTTTACTACTGAGCTGTATCCCTGGTGTGTAGCTCTCTTATCTTTGATGCCTCGCACCTGTCTTACGTAACACCTGCCTTGTTTTGTTTTCCAAGGATGGTTCTGTTTGTTTTACTACTCCTTCCTTCCTTCCTCCCTCCCTCTCTCTCTCTCTCTCTCTCTCTCTATCTCTCTCTTTCTTCCTTCTCTCTCTCTCTCTGTCTCTCTCCCTCTCTCTCTCTCTCTCTTTCCTTCTTTATTTCTGTTTTTTTTTGGGGGGGGGGAGTGTTGAGTCATAGTTTCTCTGTGTAGCCCTGGTTGTCCTGGAACTCGCTCTGTAGACCAGGCTGGTGTTGGAGTCACAGAGTTCCGCCTGCCTCTACCTCTCTAGCACTGGGATTAATGGTGTGCTCCACTACCACCTGGCTTTTTTCTACTCATTTTTTTTGACCAAGAGGACTTCAATGCTTCTGTTAATTCATCTTAGGGTCCCTTCTCCCTATAACCTGCCCCCCAGCCCCGCTGCTGCTGCTGTCAGAGGGACATGCCACCTGTATCTTCCTGCTGCTTCTTGGATTCCCTCACTCTCCTTTCTTCTTGGACCTTGACTTCCTGTCTGAAGAATAAAGGTATAATTCAACCTGTTCTCTATGTGGGAATGGACTCCACGAAACAAGAGTACAGGGAGCAGGAAGACAGGGAGGCTGAACCCACAGGGTCAGTGCTGAGAAGCAGAGAGTTAGGAGAGAGGCAAAGATATCCAGCTCAGAGGCAGAGGGAGAGAAGTTTTTGCCCAACTCCCAAGCATAACAATAAGAGCTGGAGAACTCAAAAGAGGAAAGACTGTCCTACCCGCCAGTCTTCCTGAAATAAAAAAAGTATGCCAGGGCTGCGATCAGAGTCACCCCAGCCACAGATCCAACGACGATGCCGGCAATTGCACCCCCCGAGAGGCCAGAACTCCCTTGTGTTGGGTCAGCTGTCAGGGAAGAAAAGACAAGAAGGAATGAAGTAAAATGTTTTCCAGTGGTGTGCCCGGGAATTTTTAGCATGAGATGAAATTATTTCCATTTAAAGGATGAAAAAACTGAGGCTTAAAGTGGTTTGTAAAAAGTACTTGAATCTGTATGGTTGATCAGAGACAGACCTGGCTACCTGACTTCACAGCCAACATGAGTGGTAGGAATAATTGCAACTAACATTTATTTTGCTTTTTCTCTCTCTCTCTCTCTCCTCTCTCTCTCTCTCTCTCTCTCTCTCTCTCTCTCTCTCTCTCTGATATTTTGCCAAAAGTTATTGATTATTATATTAAGTCTTAAAAACCTACAATGAAGCAGATGAAGGAGGTGATGTAAACTAGAACCCTAGGAGGCTCTGAGGCAGGAGGATTGTGAGTTTGAGGCATGTCTGGGTCATATAATAAGATCCTTGCCTCCCTAAAAGCTCTCCCAAGCTAGTGGTGGGAGGGAAATAAAGAATAGAATGAGCATGAACAAACAGACTAGAGTAACAGTAGAGAAAACTGATGCACCGAATGTTGGCTCTTCAAAAATGCTGAGCAATATTGCTAACCTTTTCCCACATTAACTTTGGAAAAAAGAGATGGCTATTTCTAAAATTTGAGACCTTACCATCCATTCTCAAGGATAACAAAAATTTCAAGAGAACTCAATAGTTATGAGCTAGCTGTTGGGTGGCTGAGATGCAGCAGACAAATTCCTGGAATCCTTGATGCTTCAGAGACAGAAATAAACAAAATAGATAGCTGTATAATCAGCAAGATTGAATGGAAACATTTGACAACATTTCACAGACTTAATGACAAAAACACTGACACTGGGTAGAAGTCCAGCTTAGTCTAACAAAGGTCACACGTGGAAACCCATAGCCAGCATCATATTCCGTGGGTACACTGGCAGCTTTCCCTCTGAGATCAGGAAGCACACAGGATGCTGCTGTGACCACTTCTGTTCAAGAGACTCTTAGGACACACACCACACAGAACCATCAGGCTAGATAGACAATGAAATAAAAGGTGCCTGATTATGAGGTGGTAAAATACACATCTGAAAACACACGAGCTTGTTTGTAGAAAATCCTTAACCTTCTACGGAAACTCTCAGAACTAAATGAACAAACCAGCAAAATTGGTGGGCAACAAAGTGAACGTGCCCAGATGAGCTGTATCTCTGTATACTAATATTGACCGTGAACTGTTAGATTTCCTTTTCTTCCTGTCAGTAGTGGAGCTTGAACCTAGGGCCTCATGCATGCTAGGCAAGTGTTCAGTTACTGAGCAAGAGCCCCAGTCTTAACATTGGACAACTGGAAAGGAAATCAAGAAAGTATTTTATTTATGAGTTCACCAAAAAGGATAAAATACTTAGAATTGACCCCACCAAAGATATAAAAGATTACACCCAGAAAACTACCAAATAAGAGAGATGAAAGAAGACAAGAAATGAAAGCTAGTGGGTTTGATCAGTGGGAAAATGTCATCTCATTATTGCTGTTTTGCAGTGCTGGGGATCGAAACCCGGGCCTTATATGTGGTGAACGATGCTCTATTGAACTATAGTCCAAGCTATGCCTTTTAATTTTGATTTTGAAACAGGACGTCACTAAATTAATCAGGCAGGCCTTGAATTGACTATGTTAGGTACTCTTAGAACTTTGGTACCATTGCCTCTCAGCTTCATGAGTGGCTGTAATTACAGGCATGACCAGGTGGCCTAAAAGACTTTTTTTTTTAAAAAAAAGATAAATAACAATATTACTAAAAGTCATCTATAAGTTCTATGCACATCAGATCAAAACCCCAGTATAGAAAGAAAACAGTCCATTCTAGCTGTCTTGGAACTCACTATGTAGACCAGGCTGACCTCAAGCTCTCAGAGATCCACCTGTCTTCTCCTAAAGTTGGTGTTAGAGGTAAGTGCCTTAAAAGTATCTTAAAAAAGAAGAATTAAATTTCAGGACATCTTTAGTGATTTCATAATATTAGTATAAAGCTAAAATAATCAAAATAAAGGCAGACATACAGATCAGTGAAGTAGAATTGGAAAGCCCAGAACTGCTCATGCACACTGGCCAATGATTAGATTAAAGATTAGTTGTTACTATGAATGTGTTTGTGGGGCACAGTTTTTGCACATATATTATAATGTGTTGTCAGTCCCGAGCAGGTGGCATATCCATCACTTCATTTGCCATTTTCACGTTTGTTAAGGACATTTGTCTCTGCTGGCTCCTTTGAATTGGTTAGTGTCACACAGGGTTGTCCTGCTGAGTTACAGGACTTGAAAGGTGTTCTCACTGTCCAACTGCACCTCTGTGACCAGATGAGGTTTGATCAGGATGCTAAGATTGTCCAATTGATGGAAGAATGATCTTTTAAACAAGAGATGTTGGGGAAATGGGATATCCAGCAAAAGAATGAAGTTAAGCCTTCAGCTAACATCATATAAAACATATAAAAGTCAACTCTAAATGGATCAAAGACCTAAAATGGATCAGAGCTGAAACCCATCAGACTTTCAGGGGACAGGGTGAAAGCGTCTTGAAGCTGAACTTGTCCTGGTTTCTTTGTTATGATGCCAGATGCATAGGCAGCAACAAAATAGATAAATTGGATTTTAGCAAAACTGAAAATGTGCATCAGATGATGTTATCAGTCATGTGACCCAGCAGGTATTTGTGGCATTTTTCACAATAATCAAGGACACTAAATGTCTATTCATGGATGAGTAAGTAAAGAGAATGTGATGTCTATTCTCATGGCTGTGCTGTTAAACCTTTTAAAAGAAGGAGGTTCTGTCAATGTGGTTATGTGAAAGATCCTAGAGTACATGGTGCTGAGTGAGATAAACCCTGCACAGAAAGGCAGATGATCTCTTTCAGGAGAATCTCACAATCCCTGCGGACAAAGAGAGAAGAATGATGGTTACCAGAGACTGAGTGGCAGCAGGAGGGATGGGGGAGTTGCTGGGTGAAAGGATTCAGACAGACCAGAAGGTTAAGTTTTGAGAGATATGATACAGCAGGGAGATTATTGTCTACTGTAATGGATTGTGAAGAAATGAAAAATTTCAATTGTCTTAGCATAAAAGGATAAGGGAAGTAACAGATGTGTTAAATAATTTGAATTAATTCTTCCAAACTGTATCTAGATATTGTTTCTCTTAAATGTATTCCATTATGACATCAATTTAAAAATCATTAGTTACAATAAACAAAGAACTACACCCGGAAGTGAAAAGTCCACTTCAGAACAGAAGAAAATACTTGTAAATAAACCATCTGACAAGAGGCCAATGTTCAGAGTGTGTAAGAAACTCCAAATAGCAAACAGAGAAACAAAAGCAAAGAACCCAGCTGAAATACAGAGGACAAGAGTAGGAAGGTATGGACTTGATAGAAAGTGTGTGCATGGCCAAGAAGCACAGGGAAAGAGGCTCCACTTCACTTCTCAGTCACTGACCAAAGGGAAATCAAAGTCACAATAAAGCAGCACGCACATCTCTTAGGATGCACACCATTAAAATCACAGACAGGAAGGAAGAACTTTGGAATATATAAAGAAATTAGAGCTCTGGGGCATCGCTAAATGGGAGGCTTAAATGCAACCATGAGACACGGCACTGTGGCTCCTCAAAAGAGTAGAGAATTGCATTCAACTCAGTAACTGAATCCAGGATTGTAGGGGGTGGGATAGATTACGAGAAGTTTTGGAAATGGACAGTGATGGTGTTTACACAGCAATATGAATATACCTTCTGCCATTGAGATGTACTTTTCAGAACTCTACAGTGGCAGATCTAAAAATTAAAGATAATTTTATGTATGGGTATTTTGTCTTGTATGTTTTTGCACCACATGCACTCTTGGTATCTGAGGAGGACAATAGAGGATATGAATTTCTTGGAACTGTAATAACACGCGAGATTAACATACATCCCTTACCAAGCTGACTGTATTTGAATCTTGAGCCATGTTTGTCTCCTGGTGACTTTTACACATTTTGCACACTGCTGATAAAGAATTTGCCCCTCCCCTAACACTATGGGGTCAGAAGGGAGGGGAGGTCACTCACCTATTATGTCCAGCTGGATAGGGTCACTCCTCTTGGAACTGACTGGATTGAAGACTTCACACTGATACTCCCCAGAATCTTCCCTCTTGACAGGGTCTATGCTGAGAGTGCTGTTGTTCAGGGACAGCTTCATTCTATCTGTGAGCTCCAGGCTCTGGCCATTGAAGAGCCAATGGATGGAGATCCTGGTGTCGTTTGAGGAGCAGTTCAGGAACACAGAGTCCAGTTCTTTGACTGTGGTGTTGGTGACTTGGATGGAGGGTGTAGTCACTGGCTCTGTGGATAAACAGTGGAGGGGACAGTTGAGAATCCTTCATCCTCAGAGATCTCAGCCAGCTCACAGGGCCCACAGAATGACATGGCCCTCTGGAAGATCGCATGTTTGGGTAAAAGATACAACCTGTAAAGAAAGAGCTGAACCTTCCTCACCCACAGTGATCTTCGACTCAGGGTATGCGTGCAGGTTCCACACTAGGAGTCCCTTCAGCCCACATGTCCACAAATCTCATGGTTGGCAGAATGTTTTCCCCATTGATTTTTGTGCTTGCTTACACTTTCTATGAATGTGAACAGGTCCCCCCATTATAAAATAGCCTTCTGTTTCTTTTTCAATAAACAATGTGTCATTTCATTCAGATAGCCCAGCTAATCTTAAAGGTGTTGAAGCCTACTCCTCAGGGCTTGGAGAAATCCCAAACTAAGGAATTTCTGTTTGAAGCGGGCAGTGGTAGGAGGCAGAGGCAGGTGGATCTCTGTGAGTGTGAGGCCAGCCTTGTCTACAGAGCAAGTTCTATACAGGCACCAAAGTTACACAGAGAAACCCTGTCTCGTAAAACCAAAATGAATGATTGAATGAATAAATAAATAAATAAATAAGTAGAATTTCTGTTTGAAGAGAAATCTATTTCCTGCCGCTTGTAGATGGATTAAATACCACAGAGAACATGTGAATGGCCACAGCATTGACCACAGCCTGCCGCTCTTATCCTCAATACTGATTTTTTTTTTTTTTGAGACAGGGTCTTACTCTCCAGTCCTGGCTAGCCTGGAACTTGGTATGTAGACCAGGCTGGCCTTAAACTGAAAGAGATCCAACTGCGTCAGCCTCCAAATGCTAGGACTAGGGTCTGCCACCCTTGGATCTCACCACAGATACCTCTGGGATTTTCCTTGTATACTCCTCTGCATGGAGACTCAAGGAGTCTCTGTTCTCCAAGCAAGTGTACTTCACTGTTCTCATTGGTCACCTTCTGTGCTGGTGGCCAGACACAGTTCAGAGCCAACTAACCCATTCCTGACTTCAAGGTCTCTGATGTACATCAGTGACATTTTATTTTACTTTTTTAAAAAAATGTTTCTTTTCTTTATTTTTGTTTTTTTGTCGAGGGAGGGTCTCACTTGTAGGTGGGACTGACCTGGAATTTACTATGTAGACCAGGTTGGCCTTGAACTCGTATTGTCTACCACCTGTCCTCTCCCTCCTTAGTACTGGCATTAAGCGCATGTACCACTACACTCAGTGGACTTTTTTTTTCGTTTTTGTTTTTGTTTATCTAGACAGGGTTTCTCTGTGTAACAGTTCTAGCTGTCCTGGAAATAGCCCTTGTAGATCAGGCTGGCATTGAACTCACAGATATCCCCGCCTTCCTCTGCCTCTTATGTGTTGGGATTAAAGGCATGTGCCACTACTGCCAGGCTCAACATTTGTTAGTTTTTTTTTTAAGTTGAGAAGAGTAAGGGAGAGAGCATCATCAAGTCATCACTGACATGGTTTACCGTGAGTCAGAACCAGGGTCCCAGGTGCCTTCTCCACCCTCTCTTCCCCTCCCATGGAGTCAGAGCTCAGCCAGTCACACCTGAGACAGGAACAGAGCTCTGAACTGCTGGTCCCCATCTGTGGGAAGGGAGTTTTCTCTTCACAATGGAGAAAAAGAATGTGAGCACAGTAAAGCCCCGGGTGTTCCTCCAAGTCATGGAGGTCATAAGAAGAAAACGGGGGGGGGGGGGGGACAGGAAGGCCTGTGTTAGTGACAGAAAGAAATCTTGACCTTAAGGCTCTCACACAAGCTGAGGTTTCCAAGGCTGGGAGAAGCTCCTCCTCACACTCTAAGCTCCATCCCTATAGCCAGGAAAGTCAGAGCAGCAGGAGAAGATCAGACAGGGATGGAGAAGGATGCTCAGGGGAGTTTTGCTTGTTCTCATACATAAGGGCTGGAAATTAAATTTTTCTGTGTCTTCCCAGAAAGCCAAAGATTCCACTCCAAACCTGTCGCTGGTATTTCAGAGATCCACTTACCAAGGACTTCAATGTACTTGACTGTGGTCTTATTGAGGCCAGTAACAGAGTTATAGACGAAGCAGGTATAGGATCCACTATTATTAGTAGTGATGTTTTGGATAAAGAGCTCTTGGGAGGATGACAGGAGCTCTCCATTGACAAACCAAGAGTACAGTGCAGGTGGGTTAGAGGCTGCTTGACAGGAGAGATTGAGGTTTGTCCTTAAATGAAAATAAGTATCTGAGGGAGATATGATCGGGACATCTGGACCATCTGGAGCAAACAGAACAAAGGCACATGTGATGTCAGCAGAGGGAAGGGCAATCCTGGTCTGTAGAAGGTCATAGTATTTCTCTGACTTTTATTATAACCTCAGCTGAGCAGGCCCCACCCAGAGCTGGGGTGCAGATTAGTAGAAGAGTATTCATGCAGCAGGCACAAGTCCTAATCCATCTCCAGTACAGCACACAAACATCCCCACTGCACACTCGAGTGTGCACTGAGCCTGAGTCTGTGCTGTCCCCTGTCTCCATCACCCTGAGCCTCAAATCCATTCTAGCTCAATGCTGGGCCAGGCTGCATGTACCTGGGCTGAGCCAGGAGTTCCTGGCCAGCCTAGGTATCTGTGTGGTGGGTCTGTGTCACCAACCCAAGGGGACTGAGTTTCCTAGCTCTAGCCCTTTGTATAGACAGTTGTAGCCAGGATGAAGAAGACAATACTCACAGGTAATGTTCAGAGTGAATGGGTCACTTCGGGAGGTGCTCACTGGGTTCCGGGTTTCACACTCATAATCTCCTGTGTCATTCCTCACAACACTGAGTAAAGTGAGAGTCCTGTTGTCCTCAGACAGCTTCAGCCTGTCACCTTCTGAGAGGCTTTGGCCATTTCTCCTCCACAGGTAGTTTGTATTCTCAGTCTTTGGATCACACATTAATGCTACTGAGTCCTCACCCTCCATGGGATTGGAATTGTTGCTTGTGATGCTGGGCTTGGGTAGCAGTGCTGTGTGTGCGGACAACAGAGAGAAGGTTGCCCTGTGTGGTACCTCTGATTCTTGCAAGGGCCTCTTTCAAGAGAGATCTCCCTTCCAACCATATCCTCAAAGAATCAGGGAGGAAGCAAATTACAGGCAGATGGAGTAGCTGAGCACTCAGAGACAATGGGGCCTCCTGTGCTGTGTATGGGAGAAGCAAGGGCTTTCCCAGGAGGGAATTGAGCTGCAGTGTGTGGTGATGGACAGACTTGAGATTTGGAATCAGAGACCTCATGTTATCTCCTGGTCCTCACTGACACCATTGCATGTCTTGGGACACAATGTATGAGTCCCTCCAGCTGCCCTGACCTCCACTGCTCAGTGAGGACCAGTGCCCTCCAAGCCTTTGCTGCTCAGGGCTCTCCTACAGATAGGTCATGATTAGTCTTCCCATTGAGTTCCCTGAGAACCTGACAGCCCGTCAGAGATCCCACACCAACCCGAATCTGGTTAGCACTCAGGTCAGGCTGGGCTTCAGCTGGGCCATTCTTGTCAGGAGTTTGATGTTGACTGACATGAATCACGGAACCTTAAAAGAAGCCTGAGTCTAGTAAATGATCTATAAGCCTCCAGGGTACCTAATAGAGTCTCCATGGTGGGGAGGCAGGAGATGTGGCTGTGGACAGATAGCTTGTGCCACCCATGGCCTGTGTGACTCTGACTCAGTGACTATTTCCTGTCTCGGTTTCCCTAGAATAGGACAATGATTGTTGCCTACTAGTTCACCTGAAAGGTGAGCAATGACCTGACCTTCCACCAAGCAGTGTCTCTTACTGTTTGCCTGCAGGAAATAAACTCAGGTCCGGATCCCCAGAGGCAGGGAGCTGCCATTTGTACACTTTTCTCCCATCTCTGTAGGGCTCTTCACCTTCCTGCAAGGTCTCAGAAGACCATCAGGACAGCCGGCTGGTTGTCTTTCATACCCCTCCACTTATGCTGAGCACACTGAGTCTCAGGAGGAGATGCCCAGGTGACCTGCCTCAGACATGGCTCTCACAGGCTGACGGTGAGCAGGCTACCAGCCTGCAATCAATCATTGTCTCCTGTCAGCTCCAACAGGAGGTCAAATTCCAACCCAGTCTACAAGCTTCCCAAAATTCCTAGTCCAGTTTGGGGTGGAGATATCGAGCAAACTTCAGGTGTTTATGTCTCTGTGAGAATTTCATGGTTTTCTCAGTCAGGCCCTGTCTGAGTCCTGAAGGGTCTTTCTCAAGGCCATGATGAGTATCTAAGACCCTGGGCAGAGTCTGAGATGCCTGGGCTGAGTTACCTCACCCCACTCTGAGGGTGGATTCAAGTGAGGGATCCTGATTTATTGCTGTTTCCTCAACTCCGTGTCCTTTACTAAAGGCTTGAGCCACAATGTGGGGACCATAACACAGTCATCCAGCACTGACAATTCTATGTGTGAAGTAGGATTAAGTCCACCCACGACCCTGAGGTTACAGAGAATTACTTACGGTGGACATGGAACTGCATGGATAATTTCATATAATCATAGCCTTGCATTAGCATTTGCAACGTGTAGGCTCCGGTGTCATTCTGAGTGACGTTCTGGAAGAGCAGGGATCCATTGGGGTATATTGTCTCTCTGCCACTGTATGCAGGCCCTGTTTTATTTACATTATCTGACGTTACATATCGTGCAATTTCGTTACTGTTATCCGTATTTTCTCCCTTGTGCCAGTAAAAGACTTGGGGTGTCTCTGGCAGATTGTGGACAGATAGAAGAACATTCGCCCCTTCAGCAACATGGGGCGGAACTGCTTCCACAGTGACTTGGGCCGTGGTGGGAGAGCTCCAGTAGATCAAAAGTGAGGCTAAGAGGGAAGAGTGAAAAATCTATCAATATTAGATCTTTGCATTTGATAGAAATTGAGACCTGGGTGTGTTCAAATCTCAGCCTTGTTGTGTGTGTGTGTCCTACTGGGGGGAGGTCAGCAGCATCACTCCCATTCCTCAGTACTCCTGAATCTTTCCACTGAATGAAACTTTTCTCGGGTGTCTGCACAGCCAACCCCTTACTCCCTCAGATTCCTTCTCACACTCAGAATCTTTGGTGAGTGTAGGCATGTCTTCTCTGACCTCCTTCTCTAAAGACTCCAGCCTTCATTTTCTGACCTTCCCAGCTCTGTTTCTTCTGAAGTGCTTGTCAACCCCTGACCCCACCTTCCAGATTTCCTTGTTGCTGTGTCTTCCTGCTTCATAGCACCAGGACTCTGTGAGGAAAACTGGTTTGATTTTTATTTAAACCTCACTGCCTGGAACAGGCTCAGATAGCTGTGAGCAAATCACTGTCCCAGAGTCTGGGGTTTATTTGTGGATTCCTCAGGGTCGTATGTATGAAATGACCCTGTTTACTGGCCCCAGTTTGAGTTTTACTTGGAGAGTCACCCTGACACAGTTGTGGGAGTCAGTCTTCAGGGTACAGAGGCCAGTGCTGATAAACTTGCAGTGGGAACCCCTGAGTTTTCCTCCCCACTTAACAATTTGCATTCACCGCCAGCTTCCTGTTGCTCTCAGGCTTCAAGCAGAAACCAGATGTCTCCTCTCAGGCACAGTCCCCCTCCCAAAAGACCCCATCCAGTCTCTGAGTTCCCCTGCTGTCCACACCCCTGAGGAATGTCTCCTCACCTGTCAGCAGGAGTCCCCTCCAGGGTAGCTGCCCTTTGTGGAGAAGGGTTGAGGAGAGCTCCATGGTCTCTGCTGTGGCCTAGGCTCTTCCTCTGGAAAGGAGGTTTGTCTGTCAGGCTGCTGCCAAGCCTGGCTGCTCTGGTGTCTGCTCTGCTTTTCTTCCAGAGCCTCCTCCCAGAGGAGGAAGCCTCCTGGAGTCACATGGGCTGGGGGTGGAGTCTGTGTGTCAGTGCTGCCTCCCTTCTTTCTATTCCTTTCTTTCTGGTTCTGTGTTCTAAAGCATACTTTGAGCCACAAGGTTTGGAAATGTCCTGTGCCTCTAGTTAACAGCAGCTCACCCCAGGGCCTTGTCCCTGCATTTCCTATAGCCAAGAGTGTATTTCCTTGTGATACAAAAATCCACAAGAGCCCAGTCTGCCCTGTGATCTCAATGCTCTGGGAAAGTGGGAGTTACTCCAGGGAGGTAGTGGCAGTTATTTCTAGGGGCTGGAAAAGGTCTGTGTATTGACTGGGGAGGGCCCAGATCCATGGTCACTGCTCTCACCAGTCAGGTGTCTGATACAAGTTATCTCAGGGGTTCACATCCCTGTGTGCAGGAGGAGATGACCTGTGTGTCCTAGAAAGAGGACTGTGTGCTCCAGCTCCCTATGGAGAGACCCAGGGAGACACCCTTCCCCTCAGCTTCCTGTGCTAGCTAAGTGTGAATCAGGTCTGCCCATGCCCTCCCTGACCCTTCTGGGATGCCTTTGTTCTCCTTGGTGACTGCCCTGTGACCTCCCTGTTTTTCCTCATGGGTGTTGTGATGGGGAGGGGACTACATAGGGTCTCCTTGTAGAGTTGGGTTCTCAGAGACACAGGAAATGATTATGTGAGGGAGCTCCAGGTCTGTTGGAACTGGGATGGAGACAAGGCTGCAAGATATGTTCAGGTCTCAGGGAAGTTCCTTGTTGAGTATATGGTTTCTTGTCGCCCCCTGGTGTCCATGAGGAGACCTGCAGCTCATGTCTGTGCTATCACAAGGATGGTAGCCAAGCTCCAAAGGCTGTAGTGGAGCTGAGCACCAAGTTTCCCAGGGAAGGTCCCAGTGTGCAGCTGCCTTTGAGGACTTGCTGGAGACTGTAACAGCTGAGGTGAGACTCACTGCTACTTTGATCTGCAGTTCCCCGAAGACTGATGGTGTTAAACCCCCTTTCCAGGGTGTTCATTAGCTTTTTGTACATCTTGTTCAGGGACAGGAATATCCAAGGCCTTTGCTCACTCTAAAATAGTTTTGTTATGACTTTTAGGTTTTAAAGGGACGTACATTCATCCACCCAGAAACCACATTTTAGAACTATTACATAAAATATAATGAAAATCAAAGCAAATCAAATCGTGAAAGCTTTTCAGTGTTCATAATTCCTGGTGTGTTAGTTTTCCAGATTCAGGCCCAGTAAGTCGTCATTCCCAGGAGTTCTCCAAAATTCCCCTATTATGATGATTTAAGCATACTTTTGATGTGGGAAGGTCATATGCCAATCTAATGATATGGGAACATCATTTGTCAATCTGTTGTTTCATTGGTTAATCAGTAAAGAAACTGCTTGGCCTGATAGGTCAGAAAATTAGGTAGGTGGAGTAGACAGAACAGAATACTGGGAAGAAGGGAAGTGAGCCCATATGCCATGCTGCTCCTCTCCAGGTCTGACGCGATGAAGCTCCAGCTCAAGATGATGAACACTAGAATCTTCCTGGTAAAACATCACCTCGTGGTGCTACACAGATTACTAAATAGGGGTTAAGCAAGATATGAGAGTTAGCCAAGAAGAGGCTAGATACAATGGGCCAAGCAGTGTTTAAATGAATACAGTTTGTGTGTTGTTATTTCAGGGCATAAGCTAGCCAGGCGGCTGGGAGCCGGGTGGCAGAATGCAGCCCGTAGCTCCTTCTACATACTTTGGACAGCCTCCACTCTCTACAGTTTTTGTATTTATACCTAAAATTGTTGTTTAGAGAACAATACACCTTAAGTTGGTAGTACTTGTAAGAATTGCACTGTACAGAGACATTTAAAGGATGAAAACCATACCTTCAAATATGGTCCTCCCAGTAAGGTCACATAGAGTCACATGTGGATATTGCTTGTTAAGGGCCTGTTTTACATCTAAACCGTGCACATGTTGAGAGCGCATTCAGAGGACCCACAAAGAACAGCATGTTTGTGAAATCATCAGGGAGTGTTTTGTCTCTTTAAAATTTCATGTTCTCCTTCCTCATGTTGTACTGTACCTCTGCATATTTAATTACTGTGTACATGCATACATCATAGGCTAGGATCCACATACAAGAAAGAACATGTGTTTCCCCCCCTGATATTGAGTGATCTCCTTTAACTTTATACATTCTAAGTCTACCGACTTTCCTTAAATTTTGTGGCTTCATTTTTTCTCTAGATATGAATAATATTTCATTTGGTATATGCACTAGACTTCCATTATGCATTCGTCTGTTGATGGACGTCTAGATTGGCTCCATCTCCTTGTATATTGAATAGAGCAGCAGTATTCATGGGGGTGCAAATATCTCTATTGTGGGGTACAGGATCTCTGGGTATATGCCCAGTGCAATAGCTGTGTCACATGGCATTTCTAATGCTGTGAGGGACTCCCACGAGCTTTAGAGAATGACTGTATCAATTTGCACCCCCTCCAGCAGTGAACTAGTGTTCCTCTTTCTCCACATCCTCTGCAGCTCTGCTGTCAGTTATTGGGGTGACAGCCATTCTACCTGGGTGAGCTGGTGTCTCACAGAACTTTTAATTCCCATTTCCCTGATGAGCAGGGGTCACCGTTTTCCTGAGTTTTACAGTTGTTTACTCTGAACACAAAAGCCATATAATATATGACTTACAAATATCTTTTTCTGTTCTGTAGGTTGTCCTTCCAGTTTGTCGTTTTAATTCATAAACGTGTTGTCTGAGGGTTGCTATTGCTGTGATGAAACACCATGATCAAAAGGAACTTGGGGGAGGAATGGGTTTATTTAGCTCTTACTTCCACATCACTGTTCATCACTGAAGGAAGTCAGGACAGGAAGTCAAAGAAAGCAGGAACCTGGATGCAGGAGCTGATGCAGAGGCCATGGAGGGTACTACTTACTGCTTGCACCTCATGGCTTACTCCATCTGCTTTCTAACAGAACCCAGGATCAGGAGCCCAGGGATGATTCCACCCACAATGGGCTGGACCCTCCCCCATCAGTCACTAATTAAGAAAATGCTCTTCAGGCTTGCATATGGCCCGATATTAAGGAGGCATTTTCTCATTTAGTGTTCTCACATGACTCTAGCCTGTGTCAAGTTGATGTAAAATTATCCAGTATACTCACTAAGTAAATTGGACTAAAGTATGAATGTCAGTACTCTTTCACAAAACCAACTTTACAACTTTAGATTTTTAAAAAATAATTTATTTATTCTTATTTTATGCACATTGGTGTTTTTCCTGCAGGTTTGTCTGTGTGAGGATGTCAGATCTTAGAGTCACAGACAGTTGTCAGCTGCTGTGTGAGTGCTGGGAACTGAACACAGGGACTCTGGAAGGGGAGCCAGTGCTGTTAACTGCTGAGTCATCTCTCCCCCCAACTTTAGTTTTTCATACTAAATTCTTCTAGAATTTAAAAACAAATCCATATTTCACATGCGAAAATCTTCCAAATATTTTGTGTCCTTTTGTTTCTCAGAAAGCCTTTGGAAGGTAGACCAGTTCTCTATTCTTTTTTTCTCTTTTAAGGTTTCAAAGAAAAGGTCAGGAAGAAATTTTGTGTTCTAAGTATTTTTCTTTTTCTTCAAAGAGTGAAGAGAATTAGAGCCACTACTTTAAAAAATATTTCAAATTCATTATTTGACAATTTCATAAGCATACTGGCACACACACACACACACACACACACACACACACACACACACACACACATATAAATGTATTTTTGTCATGGGTAACCCCATTACTCTCTCATCAATTCTTACTCCTGATGAGCTCTTCTTCCTAAAATGCTCCCCTACTAGAACCTCCACATTGGGACAAAACGCCGGGCCCATCCACCAACTCCCTAGACTTTTCTAGGCACTCAGCATGAAGTTTCCTGTGGGTAGACTGCCCAAAAATTCAAACCCATCCAGAGGCCCATCCAAACTACTAGCCACACCCCGCCCCCAACCTGCCTATCCTCCTGCAACCTTGGTGGCACTCTGAAACACAGCTTGCTCCAATATTGAGGGGACTTCAGGGGTGAGTAAACAGCCACATGGTGGGACATCCCACTCTCTATGACCTCCATAGTGGAACAAAACTCCAGTGCCTCCCCCAACTCCCTAAGCTTTTCTAGCTGGCCAGCACGGAGTTTCCTTTAGGTAGGCTCCCCCAAAACACAAACCCATCCACTGGACCCCCAAGCTACTAGCCACACCCTGCCTAGGAGCTGAGAGCTTGCTATAATACTGAGGGGACCAAGAGTTTTCTACAATACTGAGAGGATTAAGAGAGAGCACCAAGAGAACAAACCAGAAGAGGAGACGAAGAGTGCAGGTTTAGAGAGACCCCAGAGGCTTTCTGAGACAGAAATGGACAGTACAGCACAGACAGAGAAAAACTCCCAAACACTCAGACAGCCACTGCAAGGCTTTCACCAAAACGTAAAGACCCTGTCGGCCTCATTTGAAGAAAGAGATGGGTAGGCATCAATGCGAGAATTCCTCCAATAACCTGGAAAGCAACATGGTAACACCAGAACCCAGTGGTCACACAACAGGAAAACTCGATTATCTTAACCCAGAAGAAGTAGATGAAAACAACTTTAAATGTAACTTTATGAAAAGGATGGAGACCTTTAAAGAGGAAATAAAAAACTTTCCTAAAAATGGAGGAAAAGACAAACAAAAAAAGTGGAAGAAATCAATTAATTCTTCAAAGAAATCCTAGAAAACAATCAATCAGGTAAAGCAAAAAGTTCAAGACTTGAAGACTGAAATAGAGGTTATAAAGAGAGCACTCGGGAGGCAGAGGCAGGCGGATCTCTGTGAGTTCGAGACCAGCCTGGTCTACAGAGCTAGTTCCAGGACAGGCTCCAAAGCCACAGAGAAACCCTGTCTCGAAAAAACCAAAAAAAAAAAAAAAAAAAAA